TATATATATGTAAGTATTAAGGAATACACCGTTTTATTGGCTTGTTCGCGAGCAATTAAATGCCTCATTTTATCACGTCAGTGACCTGCTGCTTGCCAAATAGTGAGCCCGCATTTGATTTCTACCGGCATGTTCGCAAGAAATGCTACTTATGATAAAATGCTCCCCCCCAAAAAATCTAATTTCAGATGATGCCTTCATCAACCCGCAGCTCGCCAAGATATTCGAGCGCGTGCGGCAGAGCGCCGACTTCATGCCCATCAAGCAGATGACGGTAACAACCTCACTTTATATGCGTTGCATTGCTTTATTGGAAACCATTGAAAGATGCCAGTTGCGTCCGTAAGCAAGCACGCATCTTCTTGTGTTCAGAAAGCGCTAAACAGCGACCTGGGTCCAAACTGGAGAGATAAGCTGGAGTCCTTCGAGGAGCGTCCGTTTGCCGCCGCCTCCATTGGGCAAGTCCACTTGGCCAAGCTCAAGGACGGCAGAGAGGTGGCCATGAAAATACAGGTGTGTGTGCATAAAAATTCTTCTCCCAAACACAAATGGACTTTTTGCAATACCTTTTTTTTTTAAAGAGATTTTTGTTTCTCCACAAATAAAAAATGATACTTAATAGTACCTAACGTGATCCTGAGACAGGACACCATTGTTGATTCATTGTCAGCTGCTATAAATAGTGGTCCTTTTTGTCTTACAATTATGATTCCTGTCCTGCTTAGTATCCCGGTGTGGCGCAAAGTATCAACAGTGACGTCAACAATCTGATGACTGTGCTGAGTATGAGCAACGCGCTTCCCGACGGTACGCACGCAGCGCACGCACCACACACACAGACCTACAAAGCATTTGTGTGATGCATTTTTAAATGCCGCGTGTCTGTGTGTGTTTTGTTACGTTTCCCCAGGTCTGTTTCCAGAGCACATGATCGACGTGATGAGGAGAGAGTTGGCGCTGGAGTGCGACTACTTAAGAGAGGCTCAGTGTGCCAAGAAGTTTAGGTCAGCCTTTGGATTTGTTTGAAAAAAATAGACTCGGTGAAACAAAACATTCGGACCTACCTAAGTTTTTTTTTTTCCTTTTTAATTAACACGGGAAACGTTTATATACTGTATTCACGAGACTAATGTTAATAAGCAATATTTTCAAAGTGACACAGTGTGATAACAGTGTGTTTTAATTGTTGTTGTTGTGCGTGTTTGTGTGTGTCTGTGTGTGTTCATGACATAGGGAGCTGCTGAAAGAACACCCGTTCTTCTACGTCCCGGAGGTTATAGAGGAGCTGAGTAGCAGCCACGTGCTCACCACGGAGCTGGTCCCAGGCTTCCCCCTAGACCAGGCTGAGGGTCTCCCACAGGAACTCAAGAACACGGTAGGGAGGAAGGATAGGACGCCCTCTGGTGGAAGGACCATGAATTGCTTCTTTTCCATTGCTCACGTAAATCATACCTGGTTTTGTTTTGGTTTTTTCCAGATCTGTGAGAACATCCTGAAGCTGTGCCTGAGAGAGTTGTTTGAGTTCCGCTTCATGCAGACCGACCCAAACTGGTCCAACTTCCTGTACGATCCGCAGACACACAAGGTGAGTCCATCTTTAAAGAAAAAAATCCCCACCACTTTGCTGACTGCGCTAAATAAAAATATCCCGTGTGCGTCCGCAGGTGGCGCTGCTGGACTTCGGAGCCACCAGGGGATTTGATCAACGTTTCACAGATGTCTACATTGAAGTAAGTCGAGTCTGACGTGTGATGTATACAAATGGCGTCATAGGTGACGTCTTCATTCGTGATGGCAGGTGATCCGCTCCGCCGCTGAGGGGGACCGAGAAGGAGTTCTGAAGAAGTCCATCGAGATGAAGTTCCTCACCGGTTACGAGTCCAAGGTAAGCGTGCACACATGCACACGTTGATTTTATTTTTTACTTTTTATTTATGTCTATATTTAATCTGAAATACATAAATTGAATAAATGCGTTTTTGATTTGCAACATTTTTACACAAACACTGCAAATTTTACATTTTTAAAATGATAAAAAAACGTATTTTAATTTCCCATAATAAAACAAATTTAACGATAAAGGAAAATTAAATTATGAGAGCATGAGAAATTAAACAGGCACTTTATTTAATTTATATTAGTTTTATTCATAAAATTGTAATATTTGATATTTTTTTATTCACACATTTTTTACTGAATGAAAAATTAAGCGCACGCTACGCTCTGTTTTTACCTTTTCAAATTACATTTGTTGTTTAATCTAGTAATTTAATTAATAATTCAGATAAAATATAATACATTATCTCTTATCTATAATTAAAAAAAAATTTGTATGTTTGACATGCGACGACCACATAATTGCAGTGCAGTTATGTAAAAGCATTTAAAACTCAATTTAGAACCGCATAGTTAAGTGTTAATGTTGGTGGAGCGGTGTAAGTGGCAATCAAACAGGCCAAAATCCAGCTTGTAGTAGTTTCTTAGTCGGTGTGATTGATTTAACCAAATGCTGGAGATTTTTAAAAAAAAAAAAAACATCTATCATATCACGGGACTGAGACCAGCAAGTCCGCCTGATTTTCAAATTAAAACATCTTTCGGACTCCGACGATCATTCAAGTATATATATTTTTTTGTCAGCCTCTTTGGGTTTCCCGGTAACGGTCTGCTGATTTTGTCCATCTGTCTGTGCATCCAGGCCATGGAGAACGCCCACGTGGATGCGGTGATGATACTGGGCGAGGCCTTCGCGTCCCAGGACACGTTTGACTTTGGCGCGCAGTCGACCACGGAGCGCATCCACAACCTGATCCCCGTTATGCTGCGGCACCGCCTGACGCCGCCGCCCGAGGAGACGTATTCGTTGCACCGCAAAATGGGCGGCTCCTTCCTCATTTGCTCGCGCCTCAACGCCAAGCTGCAATGCAACGACATGTTCCAGGAGGCCTATAGGCGCTACTGGGAGGGCCGCAGGCCGCCGGTTTGATGCACGGGTCCTGGGACCAATCGGAAAAGAACGAACGGGTGAGGTTTGAACGCGCACCGGTGTCGTGTTGGAGGCCAAAGTGGGGACAAAATGAGCTGAAAGCAAATGTAACACGGTTGTTGTTTTCATGTATTTTTTTTCTGTTTTGTTGGACTTTTACAAGATGATCAGGGTTAAAGGATTATGAGGAGAAGGATGATGTTGTCGTGTAAGGTCAGTCGGTGTGGACCAGGACCGTAAGTGTCTTCTTCAAGGCCCTCCATGTTTCTGCTTCAGTTTGAGACTAGCTTGCAACACAAAAAAAAGAAAGGAAAAGGAAAAAAAAGCGGCTTTAAAGTGATTAAAAACTGGAATAATTCATGCTCTCATGTTTATTTCCTTATGTATGTCCTTGCTGCTTTTGATTGCAACGTAGTTTAGTCGGGGAGACGTTTCTTTGTTTTTGGCGGTCAGTTTTAATGAAGCTCAGGGTGATTATATCGCATTACCGTAAACAAGAAATCTACCAAAATCTCCTTTTTGTGTATTGCTTTATTCGTGTCCATGTATGTGGATTCCACTTGATTAAAAGAAAAACGTGTTTGCTGTGAGGCTTGTCTTTTCTTTTCATTCGCAAACAAGTCATCGTGATGATCAGACTAAGTGCGTGTCCTCTGCTGTGGGTGAGCTTGGTCACATGCTGCCACCAAAAATTTGCACAGATTGTGCTGTTATAGACGCAATCGACCGGCAGGCAGTCATGTAGTCTTTCAAAACAGAGCCTTTGTTGACTACTCATCACGAGTAAATCATTTAAGTTCAATCAATTCACTTCAACACATGTAAATAAACAATAGGACGTATTACTAAAACATAAGCTGTATTACTATTTCAGCAACTATAGGTCAATTTACCCCCATTCATTGCTATTTATTTGCTCGTCATCCAAATATAAGTTCAGAAACTATAAAAAAAAGGGGGTCCTGTCATTTGACTCCTGTTGGAGGTCATGTCAATCTATTTGTAATGTTTTTTTTATTTGCATTTTTTTCATGGGGATCAAGATGGTGGGAAAGCATTTCTAGGGAGTCACAATTAGCTGTCGTGAATGTTTTGGCATCTCAGGGCTCAGCTCTCCTATGTTTAGTTTTGGACTTGCAGCAAATGCAGGACAATGTCCTTATTTGGTCACGAGACGAAAATCGGCAGCATGGCCAACAAATTTCATCGTGGACAGCGGGACCACCTTTTTGCCCCCCAGGCTTTTGCATCTGAGCTACATCCTGGATAAACAAGTGGACCAGATGCGTTTTCATTTTTCAACATTTGCATTTCATTTTCAGTTTGTCTTGTTTTTGTTTTAAAGTTATTTTTCAAAATATACTCATGTTTTTTTTCACTATTTTATCTTTTGACACGGAAACTACCAAAATAAAATACTTGCAAATCAAGAAAAGTGTTAAATGTGTCATTTAATAAGCAGAATGCACCATTTACAGAAATATTGTATCAAGCCACTGCTCTTTTCTTTCTTTTTGTATTTAGATTTTACTAACCCAGAAAACCAACACAAAAGCAAGAATTGGTAAGAAACCCTTGATGAGCAGTGAGTCCCAACCCAACCACCCAAATAATCAAATTTCACTTAATTCTTTTGCAAATTAGTGATTTACTCCAAACAATCTACCTTTTTTTCTTCTATCTTTGCCAGCGATGTATAGTGACAGGTCTACTAGATGACAAAGTACAATTAATCTGCACATGTTGGCTCTAGCTACAAAAGAAATTCACAAGACGTTCGTAAATTTTGTGAGCAAATTAAGACGAGATCAACATTATTTACAAGTTCAATACATTCCACGACCATGCTCATTACTGAAACATTATTCCTTATTATCCTTGATAAAAACGTAAAAAAAAAAAACCACTTAATTAAATTGCCGCTTCTTCTGGTGTGCACCACTTGGCCACCAGGGGACAGTATAATACAATCATGCGAAGACAAACGAAGAAGAATATTTTCACAACTGTTTTAAGAAACACACGAAGGTATGTCAAGGCACTACATTTTACTTTTTTTGTAACATTTGTGTTTGGTCGTGGTTGGGAATCGTTGATGTAGATTATATGGTTTAAAAACGAAAAAAAAACCACTTAGTTATTTCTGGAAGTACACGCGTGTTTGTCACTACCTGTTCCCGCCTAGCCTCGCGGCTAACGTGTCGCGGTTAGCTCGTAAGCTTGCTAACATTTCGGCGGAGAATTCATGCCCTCTGTTTTACTCCGACTAGTAAACGCCTCCCGGTGTCTTCTGCTCTGTTTAAAGGAGGAAAGTTTTCCGGCGTGTTTCGGGGTAGGGGTGTCCAGGTGCCTCCCCCCCACTTGAGCTCACACTGTTGAGTCCTATCAGACGTCCTGAGGAACGCTCTGATCTCTATAGCCTGGATTGGGACGGAGAAAGACGGGTTGAAACAGTCATCAGGCGGTAGCCTAAAATGATGAATGTGTAAGTATGTGTGTTTTTCATTGTACTCTATGTCATTTGGTCAAGTGATTGCGTGAAATAAAATAAACCCAAATCTAGATATATGTTAGAAGTATACTATCACTCTATTTTTTAAAAATGTGTTTGGATCCAAATGCTTTTATTTTGTGCAACAACTCGAAATAAAATTGAGTAAATTCAACACATTTTTTTGTTTTCAATGTGGCCTGTTGCGAGTTAAAACGCCACCTGTTGCTTTGGCATACACGTAACTGTATTTCTTTTAGAAAGACAATCATGGCGTAACATTGGCTCTTAGCTTTGATTTGTGTGTTACAAATTCCTTCGGGAAGCCTTGTTGAAGAATGGAAATATAAGGGGTCGGGGGTTAATAACCTACCATCAGAAACTTCGGGAAGAAGATGTGGGAGAGAGAGAAAAAAAAGACAAGTTAGTTCTTGAACATCACCAACATGTCATGCTGAAATATCACCTGACTGACGCGCACAACCTGCACTCGTCGGATCACGGCCGGTGAAAAAGCCTGGATGAAAAAGGCACGTGGGCGGAATTAATGCGAGGGGAAAAGATACGGCAATAAAGATGCGGGAGAGACGGCAGGCGACCGTGTGGGAGGAGGCGAATGGTGCTCATTAGGCGGATGGGTGGAGGGGGAGGAAAAGAAGAATGGATTGATCACATGCGACGCGGGAGGATCATTAGGGAGGAAAGGAGGGAGATCTTATTATGGCAGAAAAGTGGGAATTTGTGCATTCTGCGCCTTTTGACGACATGAACCGGCATTGGAACACGTTAGCTCCCAGCCTCTCTGCATAAATAATCAAGAAGAGCCAGGAGCTACACGTACACAAAAACACACACGTACATACTTTACGCACTTCTTGAACTCAACTCATCAGTTTGGCAGATAGAGAGCAAATCTTAAGAACAAAAGACTTCAAAATGTCTAATAGCACTCCCATCTTAAATTTCCGATCAAACTTAACATACAACCAGGAAAATTACACATCGTGTATTTAAACTAACCACATAATTAACGAATAGAATGTGTTACGATATGTTGTGGCTTTTTCTGGTGTGATGCTGAACTGATGAATGATGATAAACTGTTTGATTTGTTTTCATTTTATTTGCTAGATGTTTTTTTATGAAGCATGATATTCTAGAGTGATGTTTCTTGTTGGGGAAAAAAAAAGACTTTTCATCTCGTTTATCATTTCATGTGAATGTCCAAATGAAGCCGAGCGGCGCGGCGGAGGAGTGCGATGCGACTGACTTGCCAGGATGACCATGTCCATGCCCCAGAAGATGCTCATGATCCAGCCCACCATGATGACGGCCGTCGCAATCTGGATGAGAGCGGCTGCCACGTTGAGCCAAAAGACGCAGCACGCGCCGCGCTCGGCCACCAGCTCGCTGCGAGCGCCGCACAGCACCGTGAAGGCTGAGATGAAGGTACCTGTAATACAAAACACGGTCGTCATTTATTGCTCACAATATTGCCAAGCTGAAAAGCCAACGTGGGGGGGAAAAAAATATTGAGGGTATCGGCAAATATCATAGCAGCCATTAAGAATTTTGGCCGGGAAAATCATGGCACACAACACACTGCAAAAAAAAAAAATTGTACCCTAGTGAGTTGGAATCTGTTCATAAAGGGTTGTCGTATGTAAACATCTTTCGTTGGCAAGTCCAACTTTATTATTGAGATGAAAATATTTGGAAAATGGGTCACTTAAGACAAAACCTTTTAAAGAGAACGTTCCATCAGACTAGCAGTGACATCACAAACCGGCATGGACGTAAACAGCGCACCGCAGACGGCACTTTATTCAGCTTAGCTGCCTCCTTTTTAAGACTCGGCAACGATCAAGAACGCCATGACTCATATATGTCACAATAATTTACTAAACCCTTTTTGTGCACTTTGTTAAGTGCTTCAATCAAATGGGTTAAATGACACTGCTTGCGAGCTTACTCAAAAACTGCTTCGGCTAACTTGATGTGTTGTCTGCAGAGCCAAACAGCTACAGACCGTTTCCTACGACTTTTATTGTTTAACAATAAACATAATAATAATCATAAAAATAATAATGAAAAGAGTTTGTAATATGAAATCCTGTCAGCCAAAGGTGTCAAACTCAAGGCTTGGGGGCCTGATCTGGCCCACCATGTCATTTTATGTGGCCCGCGAAAGCAAATCCAACATGTCAACTTCCACGATGCTTGCTAAAATCTCTATCAAAATTTAAAATTCTCCCATGTAATAAACAAGAGACATCTTGTAAGCATTTTATTTGAACCAAACCCCTCCTTACAGTAACTTAAACAATAGTTGACTTAACCATTATTATTGACTTTTTTAAATTTGGTTTCAGTTTTTACGGCCCTCCAAGGGAAACAGTAACTAAAATGTGGCCTGCGACAAAAAATGAGTTTGACACCCCTGCAGTGTAAGCAGTAGTGTGGATTTTTCAGAGATTTTGGAAGGTGACAAAAAGTAAGAGTGCCAGCGTGAGGAATGCATGGTGGGCGTTTTTCTTGTCACACTGATGGAACCCAACAGTCGGAGCAGGTGGGACGTGCGTGCGTGTGCATGTGTGCATAGCCACGCGCAGTAGATACACTCATCTCGCACTTAAATCTACAAATTGTTTCCTTGGTTTTACAAACCATTTTTATACAGCAATAATAATAATAATAATAATAACACAAAATGTTATCCTGATATAAAGTCAGTGAGGCAGAAATGCTGCATTCGAGCGCCTAGTTGTTGTCCAAGGAGAAAGCAGACACGCAAGGAAAAATAACAACGTATGGACCAGGACTTGGCGTTAGCATGGCCACTTTAGAGCGCCTTGTTGTCTGCTGTGAGTGCTTGCATGTCACAGAGAGAGAGAAAAAAAAGTCTCCCGTGATCGCCAGCATGTAGACCGTGACTTGGCCTATGTGTGGCCGGTTTGGAGCACCCCGTTGTCTACTGTGAGTGCTCGCATGTAGGCTTTAAATGGATATATTTTGGCTGATCAAATGAGCTTGTAAACATCATATTTGCTTATGTTCCTCAAGTGAATGAAACACAATGATTAGAAATAACGTGAGCTCAAGAGGGGCCACCGTAGTGCGTGAAGGAATATGAACATCAGCGTGAGCTATGCAATTAGTGTAGCACAAAAAAAAAAACAAAAAAAAAAACGGAAGCACTCTGAAATTGTAATAATAATCTTCCCTGTGTAAAAGACTGAAGGAGCGTGTGGGAGATGTGGCGCACGTGTGTGTGTGTGTGTGTGTGTGTGTGTGTGTGTCCCCGCTTGTCCAGATATTAACCAGACTAATGACTATAATTACACAAAGAAGTCTCCAAAGCGCCCACCGCTCGTGTGGGACGTTAATGACTGAGTGTGAAAAAGACAGAAAGAGACGAGCGGGAGAAGTAAAGGCCGACAATAGAAAGAGCGAGGCTTTGAAAGAGTCGAGTGTGATCACTTTGGGAGCGACTACCCACAATGCATTGTGTGCTTTTCCTTTTTGGAAAGGGATGGTGTTCTTCCCAAACGTACAATTTTGTGGAACTGTAAAATCGGCTGAACTGAGAAATCTTTGATTTCAGACCGTTGGCGGGTTAGAGATGGCGACATGCATAGATTGACAATAGAACAATACTCTTAGGTATATATTCTTTATCCTCTGCGATGACCCCCCCCCACCCCCAATTTTACTGGGGAGTCAATCTATCTATCTATCTAATTTTTTTTTTTTTTTAAACATTTATTGTGTTTTTTTGTTTTTTTATCGGATGGAAGACAGTAATGGCATTTCCAAGGCACCATGTATTGGGCACAATTCGGTATGATGCACAAATGTCGCGTGTATTACGTTTTGTTATTTTAATAACGGTGGCGACCGCGCGCTCCTTTTGTGTATCCTGACACAACACACGCATACACGCACACGTTCAAAAGGACAGGAGATGATGCAGGGCTCCAAATGGAATTACACACAATAAAATCTGATTATTTTATTTTGGCCTCCAGGTTGTATGGAGCAAAACATACACCGTTCGCTCACTCGCGCTTGCGCAAACATGCGGCAGTGAGTTGTGTTCATTTTCAAACTGCGTTGTCATAACAACTAGTCACGGCCATTCAATGAAATGTCAAGGCATTCAGGCAAACCCACATGCATTGCACAGTGCGCAGGTGCTGGGGACAATTTAGTCGAGACGACATATCAAGTCAACACGGTTGCCAAAAGGAAGGGGAGTGTCTGTGGGCGGGCGGGGGAGTCGGTCGAAGCGTTGGCGGACGCCTTTCATTGAATTTGGAGCCAGACGTCTGTTGGTGACATTTTCAAGCGGTTGCTCCAGCAAAGGGGAACAAAAGTTGAACGTATTTTGATTTGCTTTGGTTTCACATTTAGGCTGTGACTTCATGACAGTCAGCCGTAATTGAAGTTGATGCAAATAAACTTGACTTGACTCTTCCATTAGACGTCACTTACATATCCACCAATAATGGACATCTGTAATTGACTCGTGGCTATCTCCAAGTGAATTGTCGATATTTGTCATGAGAAACGCAGGAATGAATGGAAAAAGCCGTGTCGTTTGTCCTCGGTGAAATGACGTCGCAGATATCCTTAATTCACTTTTGACTCAGCAAAACCAAGCTACGGTTATCTTCATCTCCCCAGGTCTCTTTTATAAGATATCTTGATAGCAAGGAGACTACCCGGTCACAAACACGAAATAAATCATCTGCCATTTTTGTCTCGTCCCAATTGCGTTAGGGGAACCGCGCCCCACTCAATTGTCAATCAAATACTACCGCACCCGGCATCTTTCTTATGCCTACATAATCACCCACTGTCTATCCCACCAGGATACCACGAGGCTTTCCATGCCAAGCGCGAGCCACCAGCTAGCTCGCAAGCTCATTCTTCTTAGCTGGCGTTGGCTGATTGGCTCTATATCTAAACATCTCTCTCTCTGTCTCTCTCTCTCTCTCTCGGTCACACGAATCTCTAACTAAATTCACTTGACATGGTTTTTAAAATATAGGATACAAACAATGTACAGACATAATGTATGTAAAACTCACCAAGTCCAGGTATGAAGGTGTTGAGGAAGAGGCATATGACCGCCAGAGGGAAAGGCATCGTGGGTATGGCGGCCCTCAGGGGTCCCTTCTTCTCGCGTACCTCCACCACCACGCCGCCCCCGCCGCCCCCCGGCGTGGGGCCCATCGGGACGGCTTTGACCCCCAAACTGTCCCCCACCATACTCCCATCCTTCTGTGCCATCGTATTTGCTTCGAGAGCACTTGAACAATTAGAAGCCGACACGATCCGAAAACACTACAGTCCGAAAAAGTCTCTCATTGGTGGTGTTGTTCATTGGGCTCAGATGCTCATTAAAAAAATGTGATATTAATAATTATAATAATAATAATAATAATAGAAATTCCTGGAAGGATGACTGTAGTTTCCGGGGTGTTTCTTTCTTTTGGTCAAATGTGCTCTAAGCATTCACAGACTGAGAGAAAGCGCTCACTATAAATCCCCCCCACCTACCCCCCACCCCCACTGTTCGACTCCCGCTCCCCACTCCTTGGTGACTTGACACCATTTAAAGGTACAGCACACTCCTCAAAGCGCTCATCCTCATTTAAGAATGCTGAGAGTCCAAGGTTTCACTTTCGTGCCATTGTGGATCACGAATGATTTTTGTTCGCCCGAATGCAATTGTGCATGAAAAATGCCTGAATACTAAAAGTCACATTTATTTGATTTGATTTTTTTAAAATAATACCCCCAAAATACATTGTAGTATCAATGCTGAGACAAACATTCTCTCTAATGCTGCAAAAAAAAAAAAAAAAAGTGATGCTCTGTGATAAGCGTTGCTATTGTGCAAAACAGTTTGAGAAACAAGTGAGATTCTTTTTCAAAATTCTTGACCGCTACTCATATCCCAAGGCGTGTCCCACTGTTCATTTTTGTTTATCGTTTGAAACGGATCGTAACAAACAAAGAGCGCAGTTTATATTCCTCGCTAACTATTCCATGATTGTATATGGTCGTCTTGCCTCTCCCGCTGTCTCCCGCCTTGGCCGTCATCTCCTAGCAACCCGAGAAGCTGTGGGTAATTACTCGGGCCTGATATTGACCTCATGCTTTTTGGCTCTGTCTCCAATTTTAATTTCCTCTGAAGTCCTCTAAAAAAAATTAACAAAGGATGTCAATGTGATTTTGTCATGCGAATCAAAGCAACGCAGAGGCGGGTTACGTCTCAAGGAGCCATCGTGAACTCATGATAAGCTGGTGCCGATTGCCATGGCAACATGAGAGGGTTGCAAGGGGGGTCAATGAGGCGAGTTTAAAGTTGACTTTTTAGTTCAGTGATTACGGAAACTTTTTTTTTTTTTAAATTAGCAGCATTAGCATGAGGATTTGCTGCTAACGATAAGGTAAGGACTCATAATTACAGTTTGTGTCTGTGTGTTTGTGTATGGCTGAAAGTAAAATAATCGTGAGCAGACCAATCACAAAGTCTTAAGAGCCTATGTCTGAAAACGCACAACCATTTTAGTGTCATTTTGCCATTTTTTTTCTGTTAGAATTCAGTCCCCAAAGCCAGTTTTACATGGCCACATGATATTTGATTGATATGTCTATCATGAGTAGAGCCACAAAAAAGTGTCAATACCCAATGGTTGAAAAGATATAGGAAGTCTGCCTTTTTGGTTCCCAAAAAAACATTTTAGTATTTGTTTTTTTTTAACGTCACAAATTCAGCCCCAAAAGCCAGTTTTAGCTAGAAACATGAAATTTAGTTGATGTGTCTATCATGAGTAGAGCCACAAAAAAGTCTCTAAAACCAATACCTGAAAAGATGCAGCATGTCAGCCATTTTATTTTTAAAATACCATGTTCATGTAATTTTTAAAACTTTTTTTTCTGTGTCACAATGTGGACATTTTCACTTCGAAGTGTACTCCTCTCTTGCTAGCAATTCAGATATTAATGGTTGTTGTGTCTTGATGTATTTTATGGGAACAAGTGAATTTACACTGCAATTCAAGTTGTATCCGGACAGTGTATACAGTGTAACGTTGGGCCATTTTTCAGTGTTGTACGATGAAAATATATACATTTTATTCAAACGTGAAGGATATGCTATAATCTACAGGTATACTTGTGAATAAGCCAAAAGAATCGGGCTTGGAAACTACGGAGATTCTGGAATGAAAGAAAGAGCGCCATCTGCTGGTCATGCAGCAAACAATTATGGATAAATTGTTCAAATGAGAGTGAAGCTGTGGTTCAATCATGAGTTCTTTTGTCATTTAGAGCCGTGTTGGGTTGTACATTTTCTTGTCTATACTAAGAAATGGACACTATTTCAAATTCAATTACAACATTAGAAGAGAGAAAATAAAGTCCTAGTGGTTCCCCATCGTCTTATAAAAATACTGAGTCAATTTGTTTTCATGATTAAAAAATATGAATCATGAAGAGTATGTGAGCAGCCTCTAGGTGGCAGCAGAGCCTCATAGGACGAAGTTCTCACTCAACTGTGAAGCAATAAAAAGTGAACATTATCCCCCCCCCCCCTGCCTATTTCATGTTGTAGTCTGATTCTTGAAGTGACCGTAGCAATATGAACAGTTAACAATTAACCCTTCAAGAAGTACCTTTGTCAGTTGTTCCATGACGGCGCCCATTAATTAACATCCTTGTGTCGCCACTCCATTCTTGTGACTTGTGACTCCACACCCTTGTCCAACCCTGTTTCACTTAACATCATGAAGTTTTGTAGAAATGTCGCCCGGGACACAGGAAGTCAGACGTTTTTGCTTGGAATGGCTATTTTGACCCTGGAACAGTTTATTTCAGTTTCCATGATTTCTCATGGGAGGGGGGGAAAAATGTGTTGACATGTTTAACAGTGATGTATAGCTTCCTCATACACGCAAACACACACATTCATCACATGTCCGTGCGTCACTGTCATTTTACACCACTGACAAAGCAGTTACTTGTTATATTGTACAGTGTGTGTGTGTGTGTATATATATATATATATATATATATATATATATATATATATATATATATATATATTTTCCTCATGGGACAGATAAGATATCATTTTGGGCGACTCTGTCTCACTGTCTCCTTTTTCCGGGAAATACATGCTTCCTCAAAATAACCACACCACACACCCCATTGAGTTACAGTGTGTGTGTGTGTGTGGGGGGGGGCGGGGGTCAGGGTCAAGGTGAGATTGGAAGTGCATGTTAGAGGAGAACTTTCCCTGCAAGAGGACAGTGTTGCATGTTTTGAGGGAGGAGGACAAAAAAAATGGCTGTTTGGAATTTTTCAAAATTTTGATAAGATTTCATGAAGAATTGAATTAATGAGCAATTCTTAAAATCGATATTGACAGTTTGTGTTTTCTTTTTTTTTTAATTATTATTAAAATGCAGTCACATTTAGAAATGTAATGACACATTTTACACGCCGAAACATTTTCCACTATTTTTCTATTCGCAATTGTTTTATTCTGTATATTTTACATTTTATTTATATTGTATACCTGTATAAATTGTTCCTGGTTAATTTACGCAAAGGGAGTATAAATTGCTTCAGCAGTTGGATTTTTTTTTTTTTTTTTAAACTGAGACAAATGTGTAAAAACATGACAATTTCAGACATGGGTCTTTTTCATGAAGTTTATTGTGCTGATCGGAAGCGAGACATCCAGCATAAACGTGTGCGCATTGGAATGCAAGCAGTTTCCTTGAAGGACACCACGTTCACATGATAAGAGACGGACACGCACAGACTGTTAATGTGTCGCAAGAATATTTTGAGTATTTTCGGAGTCAAATCGAGTGGAGTGAAGAAGGATAATACTGGCATATTGCGCGACAGTCAGGTAACGTGAGTGGTAATGAGTACAGCTATACCGAAGTGTCAATTCATGTTAATGATCCTAATAAAACAAAAAAAAAATAAAGTGTGTTGCTCCTGAGGAGTTAGAAGAGAGTTAGCCGAATACATAATGGTTTCATACAATAATATAACACAATAGAAGTACACATAATAAGTCACAGTATAAACATCGGAACATTGAGACGCCATCATATCCCTGCGATCCTAGTTTTGAACACTAAGGGTTATTTTGGGGGGGGGGTCTACTTTTTAGTTTTTTTTGTCAACCCTTTGGACTCATTTCCCAAAAATGAGGCAGAACACTCCAAAAACAGTTGTTGTTACCAGGCGAAACTACATTATTATTATTATTTTTTAGCCAATCCCTTCACCGCCCCCAAAAGAATTTCTGTGCATCAACATTTCTGTCATTATTCACATTGTTGAGTGACTCCCATTGTGTCCCAGTGTTTCTTTCTTGAAGACCATGTAAAGTGAATTCAGAGATTTGACAGTAGCTTGATTGTTCACAATTTTGAAGCTTTGTTTTCTATACTTGATTTTTTTTTAAATGATTGAAATTTGTCAGGTTAACAAAACTCTACTCGGTTTTCACTTTACAGGGACTTTACATTCTTTTTCCTTTGTTCAGCTACATCAGTATGTGGTTGTTTAAAAAAAAAAATGTATATACACCGGTATATTTTTTTTTCAATTCAATTTCACCTAAATGTCTTTGTTATTGGTCTTTTTTCTTTTACTATACACTGAATGTCCGGTTGATAATTTGCGCCAGTTGCAGAAGTTTTACACTGTTGTTCCCATTAAAATGTATATCATGAATCCAGTAACTTCTTTTTTTTGGTCCACTTTACAACAAAGATATGAACTACAGGCAGAACATTTGACTGTTTTACAACACTTTGTTGCCCATCAGTATTTGTACCTCTTCAACAAAGAGGAAAAATCCGCTTTTTCGACGATTTTTTTTTAAAGGTTAAACGTTTGAATGAAATCGTTTTCCTATGTTGTAATGTGTTTGTGTTAAAAAAAAAAAAAAGTAAAAGTCGGCCAATTTTTGGGGGCGGGGTTATAAAAGAGCTAATTTTGGCCAATTGAATTGGCTGTCTGATGAATTAATCGGTCAGGCCCTACGTTAAATAGTGTTTCACAAGTTTAATTGTGTCTGGATGGGGGGGGGGACTATTTATCAACAGTTTATTTTTTATTTCGTCCACAGTGTAGATTTTAACCTAGCGCAGATGGGTCTAGATTGGATCTTCTACGATAAACTGAGGTTCACTGTATAATGCATTGATCCGAAGAGTTGTTCCTTAATATCAACTTGCTCCAGTTGACATCAAATTTGCCTCCATTGCTCCAAGATATGATTAATCGATTCAATCAATGACTGGATTATGAAGTCCATTCCTAGTGGAAAAGTGTTTATCTTTTCTGTTTTTTTTTTTAATGATTTGTGACATTTCCATTTACTCTAGTATTTTCCTCTTGGAAGGAGGCAGCAGATGCGCCGGCAGCTCGGTGGGCAGCTCGTGTCCCTCCAGCTTCACTTTAATGAGGTGGTTGGCCAGTGCGAACTCCTCGTCGTCCAGCATGCCGTCCTTGTCAATGTCGGCCAGCTTCCAGATCTTCCCGAGCACCGTGTTGGGCAGCTTGGACTTAACCATCTCTCGTTTGGCGTTGGCGCCCGTCACCTTGCCGTTGACTGGCGACAATGTGTAGAAGATCTCGTCGTAGGCCGGCTTATCGCGCGCCACCACCCACTCGGCCTCGTCGATACCCTCGCCGGCACCCTCTCCGTAGCCGTGGCCGAAGGGGCCGTTGAGCGTGCCGTCGAAGGCGCCGCCCTTGACAACGGGGTTGGGTCGCTGTGTCTCCTCCTGGCGCACTAGCACCATCAGGCCGGCAATGTCGTGGGCCAGCATATCGTCCACCGCCTCCAGGAGCTTGGACTTAAGGGGCTGGAACTTGGTGAGGTCCTGAGCTTGGAGTTGGTCCTAGAAGGGAGGCAGAGATGGCAAAAGTACTAAAACTTTGTCCTTAAAGTCCCTGTAAAGTGAAAGGTTTTCTAAATTTGACACACCGCAGACAAGACCAAATTGAAACGATTTATTAAAATCACCAAGCACATAAAATTTGTCTTCAAAATAATGAAAATCCCTGGGTGCACATGCTATCTCTCAAGTTGGACTTAAAAAAAAAAAATTCTACTCTTTCATTTTCCTCCCCTTGTTGAGCGTGCACTCATGGCCAACAACGAGGCGCACTAAAGCAGCCACACCAGCGCAGAGCCCAGATCCTCACTTCCCCTTCTTCTCTGTCCTTCTCACATTCTCGGAAAAAAAAAAGTGAAAGTATTTCGACTTCGCTACTTCCCAACACTAAAAGGCAGTTAAAAAAAAAAAAAACAAAGCACATCATTGCGAACTATTGGTGAACAGATCCTCTTCCTCATTGTTACCTGCATCCGCTTGAGATTTGGAAAATCTCCAGGTGATATCTGATGTTCCCTCTCGATGCGCTTGTAGATGTCTCCCAGGCTGGCGATAAGCTCCTTCTTCTTGTTCTCTCTGCCAAACACTGCCGGCATCTCCTTCTTCAGAGAGCTGATGATGTACGCGTGGACCTGCGTGACGGGATTCAAAGAATGCATCAGGACAACATCAAGCACAGCTGCACACGGTAATCCAAGATCCAATCGAAAACGGAATTATAAACACAGCAAACATGTCCTTTGTTTCCATCTTTGACAATTGATAGGAACTTTGGGGTTCATTTTTAAAGTATTTCCGTATTGCTATATGTCCGTGAAGGACGTATATGAAGGAAGGTCAAACAGCCGTTTGACAATTGCGGTTTACTTAGTGATCTTTTTATTTTTGTCAATCATACACCTGATAAATATTCCATATCATCGCTCTCATGTGAAAAACACATTTGTCCGTTGTTGTCATTAAAAAAATTAACTTAATGGGTTGTCCGAAACGCCGACACGCCTGTTAAAAAAAAAAAAAAATTAAATGGGCAACTGATGTTCACAGGACAGCAATGATAATTTTTAAAAGTAAAAATATTACTGAAACTAATAACTACACAAGATAACTTAACATCCTCTAAAAGCTATTTGAAACCAACTAAATGAACAAAAAATGTCTCAGCTGAATTAAAAACGAAATGAAAATCTCAAACTATTAGCCCTGTTTAGGAATTGGGCTAGCCAAATTAGACCTCAGATTAAGAAATCAATCAAGGACATTCGGCATCCTTAGCAATATAAATCTTTCCCCCCCCCAAAGTCTGTCTCATGACCTCAAAGCATAACACACGTCAGTTGTCAAACAGGAAAAATGCATTGGAGTGTTTCCGACAAGTGGTTGAGTATCTGTCCTCAGACAGGAAAAGAGGAAATCATTCACATGTGATCCCAATTGTTCTAAACAGCCGGATGACGGCAGGAAACGCTTTTCTCCTGAAAACACGCAAAATGTACATTTGGGAGAGAGGTCCTTTCATACCATCCTGACACGGGTCTCGGAAGAGGGAGCTTTACCTTTGCTAACCTCGCCCGCTTGATCAGATCGTTGAGCTTCCGCAGCGCGGCATTGCGCGGCAACGACTGGATGTCCTTGAACAAATCCTGTTCCTCGGCCTCGAACAGCTTCCTGTTATCGGGAATCAGCAGCGGGTGCGACCAAAAGGAGCCGATGTACACGCGAATCACCTGCCGGAGACAAAAGAGAGATGCACAGATCGCTTTGCTTTTCGGGTAGAAGTTTAAAAAAAAAAAAAAAAAGATGTTTACCTCAGGTGTGTTGACTATTTTTCCCAGCGACCACATGAGCGCCCCATACACTCGCATCAACTGCTGAGTCTCGATCTGGTCGGCCTTGTTCAACACCACCCTGATGACAAAACGAAGCAAAACAGCAATTGTGGGTTCATATAATTCGCAAGAGCCAAGGTGCCGTCCTCGAAGTACCTTATCTTGTCCTCGTGGTTCTTCAGCGCCTTGATCACGTCGGAAAATTCGTCAGAGATGTCCAGTTTGTGAGCGTCGAAGAGCAGGATGATCCGGTCCACGCGCTCGGCAAACCACTCCAGGACAGCTGCAAAGTCGTAGCCTGTAAAAATAATAAGAATAATAATTAAAAAAAAACACATGTAAGTTAGGAACCATGACGGTTTTGTCACCATAGAAAGCAATGAGATCATTTTGCGACATGGTGACGTGCAAAAATTGGCAAACCATGCAAAGTCAATCTCATTAAAGTGTTGAATCTCAAGGGACTGCAACCAAGTGTCAGCTGCGCAGTAGTTGGAGTAGCGGTAACGCTTTTTAAAAAAATTCGTGTTAAGTTGCGGCTTCTTGCGCACAACCAACAAGCGACGCCTTGATGGTTTGCTCAAGAACGCGAATCTGGTGGAGCAAATCTGTAAATGGTATTGCAATTGTAGTTTTTAAAAAAAATTGTGCGTGTATTTTTTGCAACCCATGTTACAAGATTCAGGGAAAAAAAAGAGCAAGAAAGGAGTCCACAAATTCCTCCAAGCCTGAAAGTAGCACACTGCTAACTGCTCGTTTAGTAGCACGTCGACATCTAACAGACAATACCTCCATAAGGACATCTACGGAGGCAGCTATAGCCCGATAGCTCCTCTTCTGGACACACATAAGGAGTGTACACACACACACACACACACACACACACACACACACACACACACACACACACACACCAACAGGGGTGCGTAGAGACCAAAGAAATAGTCAGACAAGAGAGACAGGAGTGTAAAATCAAACATGGAGATCGTGCCGTCTTGGGTTATCCAGCTTCTTTTGTCCGTGTCGGCCGTTGGTATGGCGATGCCAACCGTGTAGTGTTGGGAATGCCGTTCTGTGACACCGCAGCAGACTGAAAAGGATTCTCGGACTTGCCCTTTGCCTTTATGTCTCTGCAATGTGGTATGTGTAATGTTTGCTCGTTCATTCAAACTTTTTTTTACACCAAAGCAATTGGAACAAAAGGAGACATCCAGACACAAACCAGGTCTCATACATGTATTTCCCATGAGTTAATCGTCTTTAGCTTCGCACTGCATGCCGGAATGCAAGCACGCGCCCGATCAAAGCTCATTTTGGACGCTATCTACTCTTCTTTGAAACCAAAGGGACATAATCCCCCCCCTGCTCCGAAATGCTGACATTGTCGGATTCAATGGGACTGGTCGGGTGTTTGGTAGACGAACGGGTCTGGGGAATGAACGCGCACGATACACACAGAGGCACACACACGCAGGCAGAAACAGCCTTTGTGTCACGATAGTGTTGTTTTACCTCGACTGATTCTTTGTTTCTCTCCTGACAGGATCCCTGGGGTGTCAATCACGCTGATGCTCTCCAACACTGGGTTAGTCAGCTGGGCGCACACAAACCTACACACACACACACACACACACACACACACACACACACACACACACACACACACACACAGATGACCAAAACTGTAAACGTGTCAAAACAAACTCTGCAGCACCTGCATGCATCAAATGCATAATACAACGCAAGTCTTTCTCTTGTGATTATTCTGAACCAAATTGAAAAAGGCGGGTGCACTTTTTGTCCGGTAAGGCGAGCCCAAGTAAATACAAAACATGCTTCAAAGAAAACTGACATCTGTTCTCTGCGCACAAAAACGCAGAACTTTCTACCGTAACCATTTATATCACTGCTTGCTTGTCTTTTTATTCCACTAAACTCTCACAGCCGAATGCGGTCACTGAGTCAAAATGTCGGCAATGTTTCGTGTGTTTCATTAAAGATGCAAAATGAAGCGTCATGAGGCAACTTAGTGCCTGGCTAGTGTCAGGAAGGAGCGCTGATGAATTTCTTCTGGGCAGGATCTTCATCAGCAACAAGTTATGAAGAGTTTGGTGTTTTATGGAATGACCAAAACTCAAACATTTAGCAATTTAGTGCTGCCCAACTTGTCTCGTAAATCAACTTTGGTCGCAAGTCAACAATATGTTTCGGAATGTATGTCTTTGGGTTTTGGGGGACTTTTTGGGGGGAGTTGTTTTTTTTGCACCAAAAAATGACACTTTCATGACTGCCTCAAATCAAAAGTGGCAGACTTAGTTTCTTTTCTAGCGTGACTGAACAAACCTTTTTGCAGGTCTAGTTATGACAGACATGCCTACCAAATTTTAGGTTGCATGAAGAAACAAATATGTTTCCAAAACAACCCTAAAATGGCTACAGACCAAAATGGCTGACTTTAGGCATAGGTTCCAAAATACAGTTTTCTTGGTCTACTTAGGAAAGATGCAAACAAAATGTAATTTAAAAAAAAGGGCTTGGGGGCGGGGGCTGTTCATCTCTACTTGAAGTTTTTATTTCATCTTAGCCTGGACGTGATGAGAATTTTGCAGTTTTGTGTCACTGTGGCATGACCTACATACATAGGCAACACACATGACCGCCGGCGGGGAGAGCAAAAGCCTGATTGGTGAGGGCAAGGAAATTCAATCACAAAGGAATGTCGCGCCCCACTGCGGATTCTCACTTTGGCTCGCTTGCCACCTCGCACTTTGCATACTTGGCGCGAGAGCGTCACAACATGGCGAAGCGCAAACCTGTTGAGGAAGGCGTTCCCGAATGCGTTCAGTTTCCTGAAGGGCTTCTTGGGGTCCACCACAAGGGCATTGCCGGGGATCACGCCCTCCGTGTCGCCGTGCATCACCGCGATGAAGGAATCCGTGGTGGGCTCGGGGCCGATGCGCATCCCGGGAAAATCCTGCTCCAACAGGTAACTGTGGGGGCAAGTGAGGCGTTCCGTGATGAGATGCTTTTGATAAGATGAGAGCAGAGTTAAAAAGCACTCAGTGGGGCTCTGGTGAAAGTTCTCCAACTTCGATCTCAAGGCAAAATATATGAAAACAAAAGGTTACAAAAATATATGTGAAGTATGCATGTAGTCAATTCGGTGAAACAGTACTAGTGTCGTACTTCTATAAGCTACACTGAAGCGGGAGGACAGAATTTCGGCTGTAATGATAGTCAAGGGCAGGGGTGTCAAACTCATTGTAGTCGCGGGCCAATTTGGAGTTACGTCTTCCCTCAGATTGTTCAAATGAGTACTGGGTAACAAAATTATTGCAAAATCTCAACGATATTTATTACACGTGACAATTTGACATTTCGGTACAGAGTTTAGCAAGTTGACACACATGATTTGCTTTCGTGGGCCGAATCTGGCCCCCGGGCTTTGAGTTTGACACCTGTGGTCAAGGGTGTTGTAAGTCAAGCTCGCTGTATTTACATCAACAGCGTTTGGTTTTTGGTGGGAGACAGATGATGCCTGGACTAGTTTTCCAAGTCATGTGAAACCTTTGCAACTTGTTGCTAGGCTGAATTGGTCATCTGCAATTGTTTTTTGCTGCATTCCGCACGACCAGGAAGTTTTTGGCCCTTACAAGGGCCCAACCTAAAAGCAGTACAATGAAAACTGACCCTACAAAAGGCACTTAAGCTATCGTATTTTCTGACAAGTAACAAGTGACAAGAATTCCCTTTTTAATTTAAAATACGGACATAACATAATATAGGTCAACTGACCATATTTCTCATACTTTCTTTCCCAATCAACCTGGGGCAGATGGCTCGGCACGGCTTTCGTGGCTACATCGGCTTAATTCCCTGCCGATCCTCCCAACGTGAGCTAATGCTCTTTAGGGCGACAACAAGGTGATCTTTAAGGAAATCGTCTTCCTTGGTGGTATCTGACAACTCACTTCGGTCCTTGCTTAGACTGTCCTTTTGAAAAAGAAAAAAAAGAAAAATTCTCATCCACCGTCCTCTGTCCCAAAAATGACTGATGGATGGACCGTTCCATCCCAGGGACGGAATGTCCATCTCTGGAATTCAGCCAACTTTCCAACGTACAAACCGTCTTGAGCAGAAATCGGAATCAATTGTCAAGATTTGAAATGACTCTCGAACCATTTGTTGGCAACACAAATGACTCTTTCAACCCCTGTATTGGTCCAACATTGCAAGACGCTTACCACTTAAACAGATTTTTTTTTTAATCAGTAATGGCATTTTCTATGATTTATAGTGAGTATCGCGTTTTTTTTTTTTTTAAGTTACCAAAAATGACTCCTGACCCAACAAGTGCTCCGGTTTTGAATCCTCCATCTTACATGTTACAAGCAGGGGAAACGATCTTACGATGTCGAGTCTTGTAAACGCGGGCCGATTTACGGTGCGACTATTAATTTTCCTGTCAGTGTTTTAAGCGTTAACAGATGTAAGGATGACTCCCACCCCTACTTTTTTTAAAAACATCTTTACAATGAACACACATACTTATACACACACACACACACACCTTGCCTGAGGAGCAACCAGCGCCTGGTGGAGCCATCTCCCCCGACAGGTTGTGCAATACACGCGTACGACTGTGTACCAGTGTTGGATAGCACGTCATGCAACATACGTATCATCCTTTTGGGGTTTGCCTTATATTTATATGTTTAAAATAAACATTTTAATCTGTAACTGTAACAAACACATTTGGGTAGGGTAATTTAAAAAAAAAATTGAAGTTATTCCGGTTTAAATATTGAAATGAATCATTCATGAAGTGTGACTGCAGGCGGGCGTGAGCAAAGGTTACCAAGCATTTTGGACATTCCTCGTTGCCGTGTTAAAATGTGGGTGGAGGGTGAGGGGGGGGGGGGGTGCTGCTAAGTTGTTATCAGTAAACGAATGATGAAGAGACAAAAGCGAGGAAGGAGGAGATGCTAAAGACCATCCTCGCTGGCTTGAAAGGACTAATTCAATGACATTTAAAAATGGCCGACGGTTCAAACAACGGAAAGCCTTGGCTAATCTAAACATCACGCCACACCGATATGTTTCCCGAGGCTTCCTTGAGCCTCGGGGACCGTCAACTCGGCATGAGCTCAGACATCCGGCTCCCATCGCATCCATGGAGCAGTCGTCTTCCCACTTCCCAGTTGGACTTTGCACTCCGTGAAATAAACAACACATTCCAAGATAATAATTCTTAAAAGTGAAAGCCACCGAAAGTGGAGACGTCATTTTGGGCTCAACCAAAGTTTTGGCACGTATTTTAACTTCAAAAATTCAGGCCACACTGAAAACAAATGTCACAAAAAGGATATAAAGTCAAATAGGACAGTGGGGGTGGGGGGTAATCAAGTGGCTTTTGTTAGTTAATATTTGTTTTTATTGGGCATTGGTTAACTTGTCGTCAAACAACAGAACGTTCCTCAAACACTCTTTGAACAATTTAATCTTCAGTGAAACTAACATGCATGTTTTGGCAATGTAGCAGGAAGTTGGGAGTACCCAGAGGGAATCTCTGCAGAAACACAGAGAACTTAACTCCACAAAGGAAGCTCCTGCGCTGAAATTCAAACCCCTAACCAGCTCATAGTTTACATTAATATAATTAAAAACATGCAACTTCATGAGACAACCAAAATGTTATCTCAGGTTCTATTTACTATTTTCTATTTATGTGGCATGTTCGATGGCTGCAGCAGAGGGAAAACAGTCAGTTGGGCGTGTCTTCATCGAATGAACTTTTAAGATCTCCATTTGATCCAAATTGTGTCTGTTTTGTGTTCTCACCGTATGAAGCTGGTCTTGCCTGTGGAGTACTGGCCCACCAGCAGGACCATGGGCTTGTTGTCAAAGTCGGCATCCTCCAGCGCCGGCGAGTGGAACTCGTGGAACTTGTAGCTCTCTTCCAGCGGCAACAGCTTGGTCTTGTAAAGCTTCTTCAGACCATCACTGACCGTCTGGAAGACCTCGGGCTCCTTCTTCCTTCGGTCATCGCCTCCCAGCCAGCTGAACATGACGGCTGCGCTTCTTTTTGCTGCTGCCGCTTCTTCAGCTGATTGGTTCTTGTGGTCTGCTGGTTGGTGAGTCCTAGATCTTTAAGGGCGCACAGAGTGTGGATGGCCTCTTCAAATATGAGTCATCATGAAAATGTCAAAAATAAATTAAGCATAAGGGTGTCCAACTGGGGCTACTAAGCACAATATACCAACAAATGTCTTCTGTTTTACTTTGCAAAAATAAATAAATAAATAATACGTGGTATAGAATTAAAAGTAAGGGAATATATGTTCTAAATAAATGTTGGGTGTGGTTCTAAACAGATAATACGATGCTATTAGAAGAGAAAAAAAGGTCAATACCCAAGCTGTCAAGATGGTTTTGTGTTGTGCCAATTACAGGCGACACTCTAATTGCATTCTCTTCATCCGGGTTCTTCCAGCTTCCTTCAAGCCCGTGATATTCCGAATGGGACAAAAACACACCTTTGTATATTCGATTTGACACAATATATTGTAATGTTGTCCAAAAAAATATTAGCGTCCCAATGCCGCTACGGGGCCGTGGGCGAGCACAGGAATCCCATCAATGATGCACTGAGCTGCCGCGACGCTGTCAACCGCCGTTGTCCTTCCTTCCACCACCAACCGTTTGCAGTCAAAACACGCTCATAAAAGTGGATTTGTGTCGTTTGGAATTAAAAATGAAAGTCAACGAGCGACAAAGAGGTGAGCTTTGGTGTTTTGGAGCGTTATGGGGCGGCAGCCGGTCACTCTCTCTCCCCTCCTACGGAGCTCGTATTTAAATACCGACTCGCTGGGAAACCCGAGCCTACCGGAAGTTACACGACAGGGGCCTTTTGGCCCCGCCCAGTGATGCGGCAACCCAAGCCGGACTCGTGCGAGGCCGAGAAATGGTGCGCCACCTACAGGCGAAGAGCGGGATGCAAGGAGAGAATCCTGTTGGGAGTCGTCGAGTCGTGAGGTGATAAAGGCATGAATCAGTGTTGGTGGCGGTCATAATGCAGGAGAGTAATTTACCGAGTTCAGAGGGGGTGATCAAAAGAGAACTGTATGAATGATTGATCGGTTAGCGGAGGAGTGACAGGTCGAAGGTGTAGGAAGTGGCCAGCTGGTTGTAGATGGTGTCAGAGAGACTTGATGTTGCGGAAAGTGATGGTGCACTTCAGTTTGGGTTTAGGGGTGGGAATGTTGATATGCAAGATGATGGCGAGGTGGTTGGAGCTGGAGAGGTTGTTGATGGTGATTCCAGTAGAGCAGACCAGGTCCTGGATGTGTCCATGATTGTGGGTAGGGACGTTGATGTGTGTTTGAGACAACCTTACATAATGCAAATGCTACGTGGTTTAGACACTTTGAATCTACTGGGTGGAGTGAGGTTACTGTCAAAATACCTTAGTGACTTCCTTCTCACGACGTTCTTATCGCTTTTGGGCAAAAAAAGAAAAAGGAGATGATCTTTGTGAACACTTGTTAGACGAGCAAACAATGAGCCCATCATTCATGACAGCACATACGAGTTTATCCTGTCCTCCATGCAATAACATATTGAATTTGACGCAGCGAAAAAGAAAAAAAAAGTCATCTGAGGACTGTAACAAGAATAAGAATAAGAAAACCTTTATTCGTCTCACAATGGAGTAATTCCCAATTTACAGCAGCAAAGTTATGCAAGTTATAATTCGTGCTCTGTTAGGAAACCTTTAGACCAAATTGACTGCATAGTATAAAGTGCTCCTTTATCTGTACTTTATCTGAGTGAGAATGTGCAGGCTGATGCAACAAAACAAGCGAGGTTTGATTAAACTGGGTGCAGCTCTTGATAAAGAGGGAATGTCATAAAACCAGAACAGAGGTGTCAAATATAACTTCGGAGACTCAATTATGCCACCATCTTGTGTCCACAACTACTTTATGCACCACGTAGAGCTGCAGCAATTATTCAAATTAGGTAACATGCCTTAAATTAGGAAAAAAAAGCTTCACAGGAATAATTTTTGCGAGCAAATTTAATATTAGCTGCCATAAGGAGTGGTCAAACACAGGCACAGCCACCCATCCACTTCCAATCGCTTTGTTGAACAAATGGTTCTCCATTCATTCACCACCACGTAGAGTTTTCTCAATACACAGACTGGCTAATTGATGAGGCAGATCACAAGCAGCCAACTCTACAACCTCATTCGCTAACGCCCGTGTCACGCACCAGGCCAGGCCCCGCCTTATCCAGCCATACATATCCAGATAATACAGTAGAATGTGAAGATGCAGACAAAAATAAGAAGTGACTTGCGGTTTCAATGATCAAAAACATTGTTATCCACATGATGACATAATCGGTAGAAAACTCTATTATAAAAATATTCACTGGCTGCAACCCGAGCGCCACTCATCTAATTATCTGCTTGCCGGAAGCCAATGTAGTGATTTCTTCATTCCTAGCTAAGAGGCTTCTGTTAAAGCTGTGATGCTCCACAGTTCTGCCCAAAAAAACAACAACAAAAAAAAATCCATGTGCAACAGGCAAAGAGGAAAATGCAATAGGTCCTTGTGTGAAGGGCAGTGCTACTCATTCATAGAGATGACCAAATCCCATTTTCTGACAATGTCATCCACTTCCCAGCCTGCAGTGGCCCCCTGTGGCGGTGCCGCCTCTTCCCGTGACGCTTGCCTGACAAACACCTTTTCCAACCCCAGATCGGCCATTGCCACCTTCTTGCCGCCTCCTTCCCCCTCCCCGTGGGTCATTGTCATCTCCAGCCCTGGCAGCACCAGCTGCCTCTTTTCACGGTCCCATTCAACGCAAAGCGATCCTCCCTCCTCGTCTCGCTGCGCTCCTGCCGGCGTGAGGACACTGTAGTTTTCAGCGTCTTCTCCACGTCTCCGATATGGGCTCCCAGTCAGTTCCTTCCCCTCCGTCATGGGCATTCTTAGGCCACGTGGAGCTGTATTCGCCAAATACATTGTTGGAAAGTCCGCCTGACTTTGGGTCGCATTTTCCAGGGGACATCTGCTTCCTGCTTGCGGTAAGGAGCACTGGGAGGCGAGATAGGTGGCGTTCTTAACGGGTAACTCTTTAGGGTGGGCGTCGCACTGTCCACCGGCATCCGTCGTGGCCACCCCAACCACGCCGTAGCTCACAGAGTCAGCGCAGGGTTCTTCGGGCTCTGGTGGCGGCTGTGGATGCTGGGCAGCACTGTTAGTTACGCAATCTGATGCGTTGTTGTCCTTGTCGTCATCGTCCGAGGGACACTGGCTCTTCAAAGGGGTGATGAGATCGGGGAGTAAGCTTGCGTTGGGTTGAAGGCGTAAAGAAGCCACGTCCTTCAATGCAAAAAGACGGAAGGGTGAGAATGTAGCACCATAGGTTTTTAAAAGTGTTTTATAGTGGTCAGTGGCAAGGCTTGTCTAACTTCGAGACAGTGTCACGGATAAACAAATGGCCAAGGCTGAAGAATTTACACAAGTTGTCGGTAGCGATGTTGCTTTTATACAATTACAAAACAATTCCAGGAGGCCCACTCTAATTCTTGGAACCATGAGGACATTGAGAGGAGATTCCTTCCTCCAAGTATGTCCACCAGTGTCACCATTGACAGAACACAGTTCAAAACTTTTGATACTGTGTCTCCCGTCTACAATAGTAGACATTATTCCTCGCTTTTGGGGTCACTGACCCCAAACCAAACATAGAGAATGAATTTCGTTGACCCTAGTAAAAATTTTGAAGGTGTTATTATCACCTTCAAACATACTGTAGTGGTCATAAGTAAAGTATGCATAAATACAGTGCGTAGCTGAGTTATGATAATAAGGTACGCATTTGAGAGCAACTACAGGTAGCCTTGTTATTAGCATTACCAGAGTATGGGGCCTTTTCTGTCCATTCCCCATCAGGTAGTGATAGAGAATGTAGCCGACCACCAGAACAATGCAGATGCACAGCGACGGACACACAATGCCAACAACCGCCATCTGCACTTGGCCGGTGACAGGATCTACGGAAATAATATGCAGATCACGTCGTTAAAGTATTCGAGACATGGTTTTCAAATTTAGCATTTGGGTGACCCGAGAAACAAACACAGTGAGGTTGTACCTTTTCCCGTGGTGATGCAGAGCCTCTCGGACTGGTGGCAATTGAAGTGCAAGGAGAGGAATCTGGCCTGAGCCGAGAAGCAGTATTCCGTCTCAAAATCCATCAGTCCGTATTTGTACGGGCTGGAGGTGACTGGAAAATGGTGCTGTCAAGTAGCAATGCGAGTTCTTGTTGTTGATAAAATAGACTTTTCAAAGCAGTGTAAGGTGTGTCAGAAAAAAAACAAATCCAAGACTTGTGTCATAAAAAATATTTCCAATCCAAACGATGAGTCGTCCCGATCAATGTTTTCACCCTGAAGTATGAACTGTAATTGCGATCGCAGCTCTCTGCAGCGATCAAAACTTCTGCGGGGCAGACTTCACGAGAATGACTTCTACTTTATGAATTTGGGGGAATTTGAAAGAAATCTTTTTGGGACACCGGCCGTTGAACTTTTTTGACACACCTTGTAATCATTTCAACTGTAGCTTACCACTCTCCCTTGGCGGCTGTTGTAAACCGTCAGGTTGTAGGTCATCTGCGGATAGAGCCATGCCATGGAAATGGGCGGGGCGTGGTCGTCCGGCTGATATCTGATTGGACCTGACAGGTAGATGATGGCGTTGTTGTCCTTCACTTCCACCGAGATCTGAGGTTGCCCAAAGGTTGCTGTCGGAGGGTAAGACACACGCGACTCAACATGTTAATTAGTTATGACACGCCCGCTTGGCCATCACTGGCTGCAGATGATCACATGACATTGCTTGTCCAATCAGTGCTGCGGGAAATTTAGTTCGCCTAGTAGTCAACGTGTGACTGTCGTGATAGTACGTCGTAAATAAAAAAAAAAAGTATACTTATCTCTTGAAATTTTACTGACTTTTTTTCTGTTTTTAATAAATGCGTTTTTTTTGTTTTTTTTAAATATCTTGAATTTGTAAAAAAAAAAAAAAATATATTTATTTGTCACTCATAACGGGTTCGGTGAATGCGTATATTATAATACCTGGCACACTGCCTAAGCAAATAAACAAGTTATTCATGATACCCAGCATGTTGCACAATAGAAATGAATAAAATGACCAAATACTGCAATAACAACAGCAACAGAAACCTTTGAGTGTTTACATCTCCATTGATGTCGCTCAACTTACTGTCAGCCTTTGGAACGAGGCGCATCGGCGTCTCGACCCACTTTGAAAGGCCGGCGCCCACGGCGCGCACCCGCCCGGAGTAGCCCTGCTCCGCATCCCACGTCTCGCGGCTCAGATCGCACCACGTCCTCTCTGTTTCCTTGCACCACGGCACCGGCCTCCATTTCACCCGCTTGCTTCCCGCCACACTGTCACCGTAGCTGCGGAGGAGAGGCCATGATGAAGGCAAACTGGTCGGTATAACTATAGAGTAGGGAAAGGCTTAACGCTGCTCACAGGGCGAATTGCACGGTGTAGCGGGTGCCATCCGGAGTTTCGTTTCCTGGGAGCCATTCAAGTACGTTCTTCAGGTTCAGCGAGGTGAACGTGACATTAACAGGGCTCGGAGGAACGGATGAGCCTGCGGTGGTGGAAACAATGTTTAAATGGGCATTGGATTTAACTAAGAGCTCATAATCATTGTTTTTTTTTCAGTATTTCCCTTACTATTTTGGGGTTTAAAAAAAGAATTGAGGTAGGGCTGGCCCGTATGCCCTTCAAATAAATTGCACTGTTCTTTTTGCAAAAATCTTATTTGATTTGATAAATTTTACCCGCCTGCCCCCCCCCCCTTTTTTTTAATGTCTGGGGCCCCGTCACATTGGTCCCACACTCTGTACGCCCCTGCTTCGCTGCCATGCCATCATTGTAACCAGTGCAAGAGCCTGGATGTGCTTTAAACTAGATTTTTTTTCCCCTCCAATCATCAGAATGAAAAAAAAGGCCTTACCTGAAAATTCGAATTAATCGATTATATCCATTATTACTCCATGTTACTAATGACTTCCCATTGCCCTCAGAAAAAAACAAGTACAGTAATACAAAATGTATTTGGGAAGTCCAGATCAATTTACAGTCAACCGGAAAAATAAACCACCATCCACACCCTGATTTACATTCCAAACACCAATTTGCATAATAACAATACACCACAACCATGACAACTCAAGTCGAAACCTTAAAAGTTGTTGTCCTCTGAAATCGAATTCAATTCAATTCAATTCAATACAGCAGCGTGTTGAGTTGAATAACTGTTATTATTTATTGTAAATCAGCGTGTTACCAAGCGCATTTAAGGTTACATTAAAGTTATCAAGGCGAGACACACTTAGCCGCACATATACCTGAAGAGAAGTCCACACCCCCGAAGATGAAAAGAAATAAAAAAGCCCTCATGACTTTTATGTGGGAAAAAGAGCGCTCGTTTCCATCAAGGGACCTGTCGATGCTTCACCTGCAGCCGAATTCGGCCACATTGGAAAACATGCAGTGAAGTCCCAACAAAAGCGAAATGGCTAACGACAAGTACAGATGATGACGTTTAAAAAAAAAAAAACGTCCCCTGAAGAATGTGATCTCACTGGTTTGCGCTCACCTGAGTGCTTATCTGCGCATGCGCGAAAGAAAGCCGTCCGATCATGACAGTACCGTAGTATAAAAAGCAGCCGTATATTTATTGAGCGTTTATCAGGGAAATTTGTTCAATAAATCAAAATTATGGCGTTGGGTAAATACGGTGGCCAAATAGATTCAACATAAAGGGGGGGAAAAAACAATATGACGTTTGGTGGGCAACAAAGCCTGGAAAACTGTAAACAGACTAAAATAACCATTCCTTTGTACTGACAAATAAACACAAAAAGTGTTATTATGGACTTAAACAATGTACAAATATCAATAGCTTTCTTCAAAGGAGGCCGGAACGTTTTACGTACGCGTACTTTGTTTGTGCCTGGACCGTTTTGACTGCTGCGCTCGCTTGGCTCTTCGGCGTTTTTTTGTTAGCATCCGAGCTATCCTTATGAGAAGCGACACCTAGTCCATTAATGTGACTTTGCAACAAAAGGAGGCGCTTTCCGCTGCACACATGGCGCTAACTATGGAAACGCAGCTCCAGAGCATCTTTGAGGATGTTGTGGTAATAATTCCTCGTTTTGGCATCTTCCCGTGTGTTTGTGCTTAGGGACCGGTGATGCTCTCAGGCGCACACTCACAGGGACACATTCATTCTCATGTTGTTCGACCTGTTTTAACTCTGTTACAATTTCCCACCTAACTGTTCAATTTCAACAGCATCACTTTTCTTGAAAGACAATATGCATATAGTTCACATTAGCATAGCACTACCACTAACAGTTACACCCTTATATTTTGAATTCCATTTCTGTGATTTAGCAGTGTTTTATTGTTGTTGTTACAGCACTGCGTCATACTAGCAGGTGACTCCGATTAATTTTTAGCCACCAAATATGAGTAAACAAGTTACATTGCCATAATGCCTCAAAAGCTGAGCATTATTACACGCTTTGTGTAATATTTATGGGTTCTGTCTGTCTGTGTTTGACTTTAATGCCATTTTTTGGGTCCCTTTTCTCAGAAAACGGAGATGGTGGAGGAGGCCTTTGCTGGGTAATGACGCCCTTTCACGCACACATCGCAGGGATGGGCGACTACAATGATAGAGGGGGACACAATTTGTCATCAGTACTACCGAGTTGCCACATAAGACCATGCATTTCCGAACCAGTTGGATGACAAAAATGCCATTTTAAAGCAAAATACGGAGTGTAGTCGCCAGTTGCACATCCCAAACGTATGAGTCCACTGTATGCTCAAAAAAAAAAAAACCTTCCGTGACACGCTGTGTTTTCAGGATGTGCATGGACAGTCCAGAGGATGAGAGGACAAAGTTGGTCAGTTGTCTTGGAGCCTTCCGACAATATTGGGGAACTCTGCCTCAGGTTTGCACGCACGCACACACACACACACACACACACACACACACACACACACACACACACACATCCAGAACACATATGACTTGACAGAATCAATCCCCTTCTTGTCTTCCTGCAGGCATCTCATGAGCAGTGTGTGCAGTGGATCGTGCGATTCACACACAGCCAGCACAGTCCCAAAAGAATCTCCTTCCTTTACGACTGTCTGGCCATGGCTGTCGAGACTAATCTCTTGCCACCAAGGTGGATGCACGCGCACACACACAGACAGACAAATTTGTGTGGTAAAAATAACAGCTAAAACAAGATTTTTTTCTGGCTTTTTGAAAACTAATGCTCACCTTTGTAATGACACTCTCAGGTGTTCATTCAACTTTTTGCATTTGTGTGTCAGGATGGTTTGCGCTGCTCTGATCAGTTCGGACAACTTGGAGTGGGAAAGGACTCAACTGTGGGCCCTGACCTTTGGACTCATCCGGAAGATCATCGGAGGGGTGGACTACAAGGTTTCGAATGTGCATGCTTGTTTTTATCTTTGGGTGGAATTAAAAAAAAAAAAACATTTCAATGTGTGTTTTTTTTTTTTTATAGTATGAACATTGCAGTACGAAACATGATAGTGTCACTCTTTTTCTTATTATTGTTATGATAACATTTCCAAGTCTTTCCAAGATTTTATATAAAATAAATAAATGCAACTATCCTTCCTTGCTTTTATATTTGGCGGCCTTTCTGCCTTTTTTTTCGGTTTCCGTTCCAGCCCACAATGGGGCGTCTCGGTGCGATAGCTCAGCATCTCATCTCCTTTATTCTTCTCCTAATCACGATTGTTCTCGTTCGCCTTTCAGGGCGTTCGAGACCTGCTGAAGGCCGTGCTGGATAAAATCCAGACCATTCCCATCACTGTCAGCTCGGCCATTGTGCGGCAGCTGCTGACAGCCAGAGAGGTGTGTGCCCCCACCTATCGTTTTCTTTCAAGTAAGAATGCATTTCCATAGTGAAAAAAAAATAATAATAAAGAATGGAAATTATGTATGTTGTATTCCAGGTGGTGGAGTACATCTTGGACAGGAACGCCTGCCTCCTGCCTGCCTACTTTGCCATCACAGAGATCCGAAAACTGTATCCAGAGGGGCAACTGTCGCACTGGGTAACTGAAGTACCTTTTGGGTTGTGTTCATTTCTTCCAAGTGTCTTTCTAAATGCGTGTCTTGTGCGTGTAGCTCCTCGGCAGCTTGATATCAGACTTTGTGGACAGTTTTCGACCCACTGCCAGAATCAACTCCATCTGCGGTAAAAAAATGATCACTTTAAATCGATAGAAAGAGGGAGATAACGAGGAACGGCGCATTAGAAAATGGATGGCCAGATAAATTCCTTTTATTTAATTTTTTTGTATTCAGCTCTTTGTATTATTAGACTGTGCCAGTGTCCCTACTGTTGTCGCCCACCACAGGTCGCTGTAGCCTGTTGCCAGTGGTGAATAACAGTGGCGCCATTTGCAACTCCTGGAAGCTGGACCCCACCACGCTCCGCTTCCCACTCAAAGGCATGCTGCCCTTCGATAAGGTACAACCACACACACACACACACACACACACACACACACACACACACACACACACACACACGCGCGCGCACACACACAGCCGCAGGACTGTACGAATGGACGTTGATATGCATCCACAGGACCTGTTTGAGCCGCAGACAGGTCTGCTGCGCTATGTGCTGGAGCAGCCTTACTCAAGAGAGATGGTGTGCAACATGTTGGGACTCAGCAAGCAGGTAGAGTTGTTGACAGTTACCCTCGTCGTCCTCTCAGTGTCCCCACTTCGGCTTAATGAACCCCGAATGCAGTAGGATCCTTTTTTCATAAACGTAGCCTTTTATTGTGATGTTTTTTTTTTTTTGGTCTTCTTTCCTTGCTTTTTCTGTTTGCTGCCTCAGTGTTTCTTACAGATGAAAAATGTACTATCATGTACTACCGTGAACATCCACAAATAAACAATTATCCTTGAATGTTGTTATAGGATATTATTGCCGGAATGTAAAGAAAAAAAAGTCTTACAACTAAACAAGAGTGGTAAAGTTTTAAGAATGGATTTGGAATTCAAAATTAACATAAAAAAATTCTCACTCTAAGATTCTGACTTTAGTCCTGTAAAATTTTTCTTTTTTCTTTTCTTTTCTTTCCCCCTAAAATTATTTTGTTGTTGTGACTTTCAGCTGCTCTTTAATCTTGTATCACGTTTTCCCCCCCAACCTTGAATTTATGAGGTTACTGTCATAAGATATATTTTAATACAGAATTTTTGTCAAATAAGAACCCGGGTATGACTTTACTTTCATAAAATTCCGACTTTTATTTTTCACTGTAATGCGAGTAAAAACTGACAGTCAGGATGCCACCGTTGCAATTGCTATAATGCTAATTTTAGGTGGTCGCACCCAAAAAAAAAAAAAAAAAGTGAGTCTTCATCTGGGGAAACACTGATATTCACTTGTCTTTGTCTTTTCGTTCCTTCAGCAAGCCTTCTCTCCCCTCTGCATACGTACTTGCCTAACAAGCCTGTTTCCCC